GCGCAGGCCACTACGCCCGGCTAATTTCTGTATTTTCAGTAGAGATGGGATTTTACTATGTTGGCCAGGCTGGTCTCAAACTCCTGACCTCAGGTGATCCACCCATCTGGCCTGCCGAAAGTGCTGGGATTACAGGCGTGAGATACTGTGCCTGGCCGATTTCATTTTACCTTAATTACCTCTTTAATGTCCCTATCTTCATATTCAGTCACCATTTTAGGTACCGGTGGTTAGGACTTCAACATAAGAATTTTGCAGGGACACAATTCGTGTTAAGGGAAAACTTGGACCTGCCAAAAAATCGAGAAAATAAGTTGCCAACAGGTAGTCATGGCTGAATAGTTATTGCAGTGAACTTGAAAGTAAGTTTCTGATGACCCTAATCACTGGGAAAGTTCATTTCCTTTCAGTCATTTTTCTGTGCATAGTTACATGTATTACATAGTAGTTCTGGATTCTGCTTATTTTGTCTTACTATTATAGTGTAAGAACTTCCCTATATAAACTTACATTGCATAGCTGGATAAATAACCCATGGAGTAAGTGCCCTATAGATTATTTACCTTTTGCCCTATATTGAGGATGATTTAACCTTGCCGCATTATGCTTCCGGGTCTTTCTAGCACTAAGGCAAAGCAGGGTTCCCCAGAAGATGAGTCTACGAAGCTGTGTTCTGGCAATAAAAGGCAGGTCACCCTGAGGATCGTGTGGCCCCTGGGACCCTCTGGAGCTGAATCAGGCCCGGATCCCCTTTCCCCTTCTTCCCGCTGGCCAAGCATGTCACAGCCCAGCACTCCTCAGCGGGGATGTCGTCAAGGAGGCAGGGCTGGTTCCTAAGCAATCTTCCCTTTCTCATCATCACATTCCAGCCTTCCCACAGAACATCCTTCTGTATGTGGTAAGCTCTTGGGCTCTGAGGCAGCTCTTTAGGGTCCCCGAGCCCCTCTGTCCTCTCCCATTCACTGAGTCCACTGCCTAAAAGATGACCAGTGTCTTAACTTCCTTTGCCTGGGTGAGTTTTGCCTGAGTTTTGAACTTCCTGTCAGTGGAATCATACATATATCCTCTCATCTGGCTTCTACTACTTAACCTTACGTTTGTTAAATTTCCCATGTTGTTTGTTGCCCCTCCTTGTGCTTCATTCACTTCATTATGTTAATATACCCCAGTGTTTCTACCCATTCTCCCTCATCGTTTGGGCTGATTCCAGCTTAGCTATTATGAATAGTGCTGTTATGAACATTATAATACATAAGTTTTGGCAAATGTATTTTTGTTGGGTCTATACATCACAGTGGACTTGCTGGGTCTTAGGGAATTCGTATATCGATATATACTGCCAAATTGTATTCCAAAGTGATTGTCCTCCCATATCAGACTTTTGTTTGTGTGTGTGTTAAAATAGGCATAACATAAAATTTACCATTTCAACCATTTTTAAGTAAAGAATTCAGTAGCACTAAGTACATCCACAGTGTTGTGCAACATCACCATTATCTATCTCCAGAACTTTTTCATCATCCCCAACAGAAACTCTGTACTCATGAGGCATTAGGCAATAGCTCCCCTCCCCTGTCTCTCTCTCTGGCCCCTGGTCAATTTCTTTCTTTTCTTTCTTTTTTTTTTTTCTTAGAGAAAAGTGTCTTGCTGGAGTACAGTGGTGCAGTCATGGCTCACTGCAGCTTCAAACTCATGGGCTCAAATGATCCTCCCACCTCAGCCTCCCAAGTTGCTGGAACAGGTGCATACCACCATGCCCAGCTAATTTTTATTTATTTATTTATTTATTTATTTATTTATTTATTTATTTATTTTTGAGACGGAG